CAACTCGACTCTCCAAAAAATAGTAGCCCCCAATTAAATCAGGCGCACCAAAAGTGTTTAAGAAAAATTGAGAGAACGAATCGTTTCTTTACCGGAGTTAAGCAGCCCGACCGAGATATATGGAATACAGGTTCATACTTTCTACCCTTTATGTTTGTACAATTTTTAAACTTATGTTTTAGAAAGAGGCGAAGAGGAGCTTTGCATCACTTGCAATACAACGCAAACATAAATAAAGAGATAAAGCGGAGCTTCACACTACTTGCGATACAACAAAAGCGTAGCATTGATAGCTGCTACGAAATAGTCAGTGAAATGGAAATAACTAAATCGAAAAAAAAAGCTTTTTTGGAAATACGAAACAATCAATCTCAGAAAAGTAGACGAGAAGTACAACTACTAGCATGAAAAAAGCTTTTAGTATTTTCCGAGCGTTCACTAAGCGGATAAGCCGTGATCAAATATCATTTAAACTGAGACCAAAAAATGGTAAAGGGAATTGTTGTCATACAAAAAAAAACTTTAAAAGAAGATTTTTTTTTGGAAATACGAAAAATTCGATCTCAGAAACAACAGATGAGATATAAAATCAACATCATAAGCCAAGCTTTTAGTATTTTCCGAGCGTCTTCGAAGCCAAAAACACATGGCTAGGCGCCAACTAATCCGGAAACAAAAAGTCCAAAAAATTGTTTTCATGAAAAAATCAACAATTGTTTTGGAAATACAAAAAATTGGAAATACAAACAAAACAGCCACTAGCATTAAACAAGCTTTTATTATTGTCAAAACATTCACTGAGCCAAAATCACACACGTAGTTAGACGCCAATTAATCCAAAAACAAAACATTTCATGACAACAATTTTGAACAGCCAATTAAACCAAAAACAAAAAATGCCAAAGAATATTGTTATCAAAAATATTGAGTTATCAAAAAACTTAAACTTGAAAGGTTAATACTAATAACAGACTTGATTTAATGAAAACAAGGTTAATCGTCTTTTATTTTTAAACCGATGCAAAACAATCCACTAAACCGACAAAACAAGAGCCGAAATCATTCAGGCCGAATACAAAATAAAATTTCTAGGCGAAAAAAAAACAACAGAAACGGATAATATACCGGTCAGGTATAGTAAAGTTAACACAAAGGCAAAGCGGAGCTTCCCATCATTTGCAATACTACAAAAAGAGCAATGAAAGCTAGCAGACAGGAAAGGAAAGGATAGCCACTAAGTCCAAAAAGAACGGAATCTTTCGAAGAAACCACAACTAAGAAGCTTTGTTTTTTGAACAAAAAATTATCTGGAATGTTTTTTTTTTGTTTGCAAAAAAACCTGTCGAGAAACACATTCGACGGCTTTTAATGAAAATTCGAAAACAGTTATTGAAAGAAAATGAAAATTTGTCATGAGAAGCTTTGATCTATAATTTTTTTTTTAGATTTTTAACGTTGTGTGCGATCTGGAGGAAAACATTAAAATTATGGTTCTCTCTTCTCTCGAACGACCTAAATTTAGGTTTGTCAACCGATTAAAAAAACCGAAACCATTTAGGTCGAAATATTTTTTAGGCGAACAAAAATAAAAAAGAAAAGTATCCGAAGTCAATTGTAGTAGAATTAGAAGTTGCAGCAGTAAATTAAAACATAAAAGTCAACTACAATGAAAACTGCATGGAGCAAAATAATTCTAAGATGTGTCAACAAAGTCGACAAAAAGCAGACAAACAATAAGTCAACTATTTTTTTGAAACAAATCATTTCCAGTTTGAAAGAAAAACAGGTCCTGGTCAGTTTCAAACCTATGACCTTTGCCGTCTGAGGCGTCTTTATTGCCTCCAGAATAAGTGTGCTGAAGACGCTTAGAAATTTGAATTCATTGTGAACCAAGATACCATGTGATTTAAGTGATTTTGTTAAACAAGTTGTAAGCCGAAAAAAGTCTAAACTTTGATTTGAAAACGGTTGCTAATCGCAAGCGTAAAAACTACAGGAGTTAATCAACGAAACTTGAGAATAAAATGGAAAATTCGAAACTTGAGAATGGTCGGCTTAGTTGCCACACCACAAACGTCAGACTAACCAACTTTTCCCGGAAAAACATCATTTTCAGACATTGCAAAAAAAAAGGTTCGGCCGGGACTCGATTCCCCGATCATAGGTTGCAAAAGTAACATTATTACCTCCAGACCAAGTGCGACGGGGCCTAGAAGTTGCTGAGGTTCGATGATAAACTATCATCAATTTCATCAACATGTGTGTAAGAAAATTTTTGACGGAAAAAAGACAAGTTCCTGATTACAAGTCATTTGTTCTCGCAAATGTTCAAACATCAAACTCGAAAAATTTTGAAAATGTTTAAAAAGAACGAGGTCTATCAAAATTAAAATTTTCATAAGTCTTGATAGTTCATTTTAGATAAAGATGCCAGACATTTGATCAAGAAAATAGCAACAGAACAAAACTTACCAAGAGGGAAAAAAGCCGACAAGCTTCGAGCCGAATTAAGTGAAGCAGAAAATAAATTAAAAGTTTTTTTTAAATCATCAAGCCCCTTTAAAACTATATTGAAAAACACTTGCACTTGTGACTTCAATGAAATTTGCCTACAGAACAAGAAAAAACTATGATGAGGCAATAAACCAACTATCCTTAAATTAAACAGGCACAAATTTAGCCGAAAAGATTTTACTATTTTAAAAAATAATAAAATTTTCAAGCCCCCTGAAACTAATAGAAAAACACTTGCACTAGCAACTACTGAAATTTACTTACGGCACAAGCAAAATCCGTGATGTGGCAACTAAGACGACAAAACTTGAGCGACGATTCAATTTTCACAGGAAAAGAATTTCAATTGCATACATACGGAAACAAAGTTCAATTGCATACATACAAAAAACAAGGTCCGGCCGGTACACGAAACTCTGACCAAAGGATGCAAAGGTAACGGCGTTACCTCTAGGCCAAGTGGGAACGAACCTAAAAGTTGTTAAGGATCAATAATACAGCAATTAAAAAAAGCAAGTAAGAAATGTTGTTTACTGGATTATTAAAAGTCCAGTTTCTGATTAGAAGATTTTCCTTTCCAAGTGTAATAATTTCTTAGGTACAAAATCTAAACTATAAGACCTTTTTTAGACCAAGTTAAAATCCCCTCAGAGCCGTTAGGCGAAGGAAGTTGAATTGGTTCTTAGTCAGATTTTTCAGCCAAATATAATAGTATTTTACAAGCAGCGATTAAAGAATTTAATATTCATAAAAAGCTGGGGTAGAGGCTCTTAACTTGGTCAATTGGGGGGGGGGGGGAGGTGTATGATGGAATGGTGTGGATGTTTGCCGGTTTGCAGTCTGATTGGGACCAGTTAATCTCAAACACGTACCCCTATTGATGCATAAGAAAAAGGATTAGGACTAAATTTGATTGAATAGGCTTAAAAAGATCAACATTGCAGCGTCAACATTGAACAATCAATTTTCTAAGGAAAAATCAATTTTGAAGCTGTTCCATAGTCTTTTTTCTATTTTACCTGGCTGAGATAATCAGAATTAGCTCTACAGAAAACTACAAGGCTGGTGAAAATCATGTATTGAATGAAGATACATCAACAAAACATTGAAAAATGACGTTTAAGTGTCGATTGAACGTTGTCAATACAGATATGTAGGTCGTTTTGATTTTCTCGGGAAGATCAAAAGTTGTTCATGCTTAATTTTGACTTGTAAGGATTTAACTTTTGTTTTCTTTGTGATGTAGCAACTAAGCCGACAAAACTTGAGCAGGCTAACAAAAGCTCGATATTCAATTTTTACCAAAAAAAATTTCAATTGCATGCATTCCGAAATAAACTTAGCCAATCGAAGATTGGAAAAGAGTAATGAACGCAAGTTAATAAAAAAAACAGACTTTCTTGAAAAAATCTCAATTTTTGAATTTCGAAGAAAAAAATTGATGCCCTTTAAGCTCTTCAAATTTCTCAAACAATTTATGACTCTTTTTTGATAACATGAACCCAACTGGAGAAAAATGGATCAATAGGTAAATTTTGTATTCCGCTGGTAAATCTCAAAAATAAATTGCACTTCCACCATTTTTTGCGCCATTTCCACGTTCGTATTTGGTTAGTGATATTTACGTCACAAGGATACCCGGTTACTGTGCAAGTAGCAAAGAAAGTTCCGACCATGTTTTTTAGAAAACTAGGTTTAGAAAGTTTTTTTTCCAAATAGTGTAGTTTTTTTTCGCTTGGTGTGATTAAAGAATCTGACATAAAGTATAATTTCGGCAAATATGATAAAAAAACTAAATAATGTAAAAAAAAATTAAATTTTTTGCGGAAAACTTTTGAAGTTATTGGTTACCAAAATAAAGCAAGAAATTAGTTTTCCTTGCTGAAAATTGAATTTTAAGGTCATAATTTAGGCATTCAGCTGTTTTAAGCCTGCTCGCTTGCTTTATTTGCTGGAATTAAAACGAAAAATCAAAAATTTCAAACAGTCGACACTGGGAAAAATTATGATGTGGTTCGAAACATGTTTGAAAGGGTTGTAATATGATATATCACTCAACCCAGCCCGATGATTATTTGTGTTACCTGATTTTGCTTGGAAACAAAAAAACTTAAACACACCCGAATACAAATTTTCTCCCCATTTTTCAAATGGTCGGAACAAAAAACAAGGTCCGGTCCAAAACAATGCACTCTTGAACACAGTTCCTTTCCACTTTATAGAAAGGGCCGGAACAATTTCTTGAAATAAATTAAGTAAAACAGAATTAAAATGGCAACGCTTTGAGATCAAAATGAGCTAACCTTTTCCAGTTTCTCAACTAAAATTGTTGAATATTTCATATGAACTGCTCAAAATTGAGCAATAGCTGGTCCGCAAAATCTATCCAATTAAAACCTCCAGTTTATAAATACGTTTGATAATTTGCTACACCACGCTATTTGCATCTTGATCCGAACATTTCTACACTTTCGAATTTAAAAAAATCAGAGTCAACGGTAAATTAGTTAAACTTGAAACTTACATCAGGGGGTAATAAGAAACAAACACGTAAATCTTTCGATTTAAAAGATAGGTAGATAAATCAAGTCATCGGTTTTGCAAAAGGGGAGCCATGTTAAGTATCGGTAAGACAAATTTGAAATGCCACTCTTTGATCACAGAAAAAAAACATAAGTTAAAACCAAGAAAGTCTCATAAATGATCGTCTGTTGAATAACCAGTTTCTTACTCCTGGTCAGATCCTTTATCTCCGTGTCCATTCTCTTCTTGCGCTGGCTCACTCGACATGCTTCTGGATCTAGATCTGGAACCTTTGCGGTCAAACTTAGGGTGCTCTTTAGGGGACTTGTTTTCTGCTGCTGGTGCTTCAGTTCCGCTCTCATTCTCCTCCTTCTTTTTATCGCTATCTTCCAGGCGCTGCTTTTTGCTTCCACTCTTAGATCGACTGCGAGAAGCACTCTTAGATCTCGATCTCTTCTTTTTCTCAGCACTTCGGCTGCGTGAACGCTTCGACTTTCTCTTGGGTGACCTGCTTCGGGACCTCTTCCTCGCTGGAGTTCTTGACCTTGACCTCTTCGATCTACTAGTCGAACGCTTCCTCGATCGACTACGGGACTTCTTACTTCTCGACTTTTTGCTCTTCTTTTCCACGCTTCGGCTTCGCTTTCGTTTCTCGGAACGACTCTTGGAGCGAGATCGAGACTTTCGTTTCGTAGGAGAATCCTTGTCCTTCGAATCATTCACCTCCTGTTCTGGTTCGACCTTCACATCTCCATTGACATTTTCAGAATCATCTTGAGATGACTTCTCTGCGTCTTTGCTAGGAGATTCTGCTTCCTTTTTAGGAGACCTAGAACGACTCTTAGACGCAGACTTGCTTCTGGACTTCGATTTCTCCTTTTTCTTTTTATCCTTGGAGGCGTCTCGTTTCCCAGATCGGCTTCTAGATCGGGAACCAGTTGAGGTCTTTCTCTTTCGGTCGCGTTTCTTTCCCCGACTTCCACTTCTCGATTTAGATCGGCTTTTCGACCTGCTCGATTTACTTCTGCGACTTCGACTCTTTGACCGGCTAGACGACCGACTAAACAACAGTTGGTTATCTTCATAATATCACCCGGTCATATCACAATTCACTCAAGTTAGCAGCAGACGAAACGCAATAATTTTAAAACTAATTTTGTAGGTTAAAATGAGTTTTCTTACGATGATCGACGCCTGGATCTGCTCCTGGACTTAATCTTGACTGCCTCCAGTTTGACTTCTCGACCAGCCATCTCAGTTCCGTCCATCTTGTCCAAACACCTCTTCATGTCCTCGTTAGTGGCAAACTCCATGAATCTAAAACAATTGATATTTAACTCATGGCGATATTTCATGCGGAATGAACAAGTTTAAAGTCCTGAAATAACTGTCATTATACTTTTGTGTAAAAAAAAATTCGCTTAGTTTAATCAAGCGCACATACCCGACACGTTCTTCCATGTTGTGGCACTCAGCGTAGGTAACTTCTCCGTATTTTCTCGCGTGATCTTTCAGATCCTGGAAAACATTCAAATAATAATTACCCTTATACAAGTCTCATCAATCACACCATCCTAGCCCATATTATATCTAGACCCCTTTTAACATTCTTAGAAGATCACAGGCCAGGCATGTGCTCATCAAATCGTGAACCGACGTCGAGAACCCAGTCCCTGAGCTTGAACCAGAGATCGGCATCTTCAATGATATTCCGTAACCCAGTCGTCCAGTGCCTTTGCAGCAATCTTCGTCCTAGGCTGTACTTCCGCCATGAATATCTGTTCGCATTGCTTTTTTATGTTTGCTCCTTTTAAAGTAGTTTTGAATTAATACTACTAAATCTTTCTGTAGAATTGCATTTGCGTTTCTTACACTCGCACAGAGAAAAATTGAGGCGTTAATTTGGCGACACATGACCTCTTGGCCCCAGCATCAACTCTGAGTGAAAAAGACCATCATGTTATAGGAAGATGCCTGGGCAGCTAACACACGTGACCTTCCGCATCAAGGGTAAGCGGAAAGAATTTTGGCCAGCCTTTCCCCTCCATGACAATTTAGGGCGTCAAGATTTCAATTGCTTTTCAGAGAAAAGCTCTTTCCTAAAAGTTTAAAGCAAGGATTTCTTTTAAGGTGTCTTCTAGATCAAAACTGTCTCCAAAGATCCTTGATTCTTTCATGTTGCGTAACTCCTGAAGATATGACAATTTGATGGGCCCGTAGCCAGATTTGTCTGGAGTAAGATAGCCTGCAACCTGTTCTGGTCTACAACCCCTTGAGGCCAGGCCAGAATTAGTGATTGGAGCGTATGGCCAGAGCCCTGTCTAGTACGTGAGATTGTGATCAAACCCATTTTGAAATTGGCCCCTTGGGACAACACGAGGCCAGCTCACTTCACCTGTTCACTAGCGAATAGTTTCATCTATTTTCACATCAAACCAAACTAAGATGCTCAAATTCCGAGAGGAAAAACTCAAGAGACACAAAAGACAAAACCTATTCATCAATTAATTATAATTCAGCCAGCTTGCATGTCACATGATATAGCAAGAAAAATGGTATCATTTGGTTCTATAGAATGGAATTACCGAAAAGAGCAAACATTATTGGTGAACATACCTGCCAGCTGATTCTGGTCGACACATTCTCCACTCTGATTCGGTACTTGGTCCTCAAGGGTGGTCCGTATCTAGATCAAAACATTTCTATTTAAGAGAAAGCTTACATCTGATACTCTTTCGGAATTATAAAAAAAACATTTCGGAAAAAACACACAAGGTTTCGCGCGAGCACAAAATATTGCAGAAATTGTCACAGCAAAGAGCCAATAGAAAGTTGGAAACGAGTCAAGGAACGCAAGTAAATAGAAAAAAAAACTATTTTTTGAAAAACCCAACTTTCGAATTTCAAAGAAAAAACAGATGGGCTTAATGCTCCTTGAACTTCTAGAGCAACTTGTGACTGACAGTTTTTTGATAAAATGAACCCAAAGTGAGAAGACTGAAAAAATAGAAAAACTTATACCGCTGTGAAATCTGAAAACTAAATTCCACTTTCTACTAGAAGTTGATCACGTTTTTCGTTGCCCTCTTACTTTTACTGTTCGATAGTGGAGTTCGCCTTCCTTTTAACAAAGGAAATGAACTGAATTTCAAAAGAAATCGAAGTCAAACCGCGAAAAAGTTAGAGCCTGAACAAGTTGAGACTTTTCCTGAAAAAAAAACAAACAAAATCATCACGACCTATATAAGGGTCTGAACTGCGTGCATCGGCTAGTTATGAGAGGAAACGTCATCGTGAGAGGGAACAAATCAATCTTGATTTTACATATCTATCTTTTCAAAAAGAATTAGCGGTTAAAAGTCAAAAATTTTGAAAACGCAGTCTTTGAATCCATGATGACGACGTATAATTATGAAGATGCTCAGGATGATTTTTTGAATCACAAATAGATGCTCTACCTGTTAGGAGGTGGGCTGTGTCGCCTGCTTCTGCTGCGTCCCCTGCCTCCACGTGGGTTGCCTTTAGCAAACTCCACTCGCACACTGAAACATTAGCAGTACAACAGCACAGAACCCATTCAATGCCTCAGTATGATAGGTGGGTGGGTCTTTTAAATTTAGATGGGTAAGAAAAAGTTTACAGCCTTCAAATCTTCGAAAACAACTTTGGCATTTGTTCACTTGTGTTTTTGAAGTTTTCACAAAAATTGCGGGACCCATATTTCATACTTGCTTCTTCCTGGAACCCAACTATCATACTTTTACCTCATTCAACTTCAGATATGGATTTTTAAAAAATTCCTCATTCTTATCGGTGAGAGATCCTAGAGTGAGTAGATCAAAAAAAATTATACATAACTTGATTCAACAATTTAATTAAGCACTGACCGGTCTCCAAGGAGTCTTCTGCCGTCCAGTTCGTAAACTGCGTCATCTGCATCTCTGTGGTCTTCAAAATCCTGAAACAGTCGAAATCAAAATCCCTTTTCGAAATTACGTTAACCATACTTTTTCGCACCCTTTGCACCTTTGTAAGTGAAAAGCGAAATTTGCCTTCCTTTTAGCCAATGAATTTGTAAGACAAAAAAATCACACTGAAAAATGTCATCACTTCGTTCAGTGACAATCAAGTTCCAACTCCCATGGTATAAAAAAGGCCAAACAATTAACTACGATTGTTCTGTCATTTTGAAAGACGTCAAGCAACGTTCCCTAGGCCAGAAAATAGCCATATAAACTACATTGAGCAAACAATAGAACAAGGCGAATAAAAGTGATAAGTTTATACCTTTCTCTTGGATCAACCGTACAATCTCCCCTTTAAGTGACAACCGCAAAATGTCCACCCCAGCTACGAATTATAATTTATGTATAAAGTATGCATTTCGAACTAACGCACAAATACAATTGGTTTTCAGTTTTCAGTTTCTCCCGTACCCCCTCCCTAAATCGATTAGGGGGGACATTCTACGGTTGATCCTTGGTCTTTTTTCTCGTGGACTAACACGGTCTTCAAGTAACTGAACTCACCACGAATGCGTAGTTTCCCTTCATGCTGATGTTGGTGATCCGACCGAAGCCCTTGAAGAACTTCTCGACGTCTCTCTCGCGCACAGAGCGGGTGATTCCTCCCACGTACAACTGCGAAGGGGCCATTGCGATTTACAACTGAAAGGCAAATCTGCTGTGAACAAATTGACAATTCAGCATCAGGGGACTTATTTCAGCCAATATCCGGTTCAATAAACTGAATAAACTTAAACTTCCGCTTGTTGCTCATTCAACTAAAATCGTCTCCTTACCGATGTTTAAAAACGTCGAAAATTCGAATTTGAGAGAAAATTTTGTAAATTTATGTTTTTGAAAGTTTCTATTCATTTAATTCATTTTTACAACTCTGCAATAGAAGAAAATAATTCTTCAAAATTTCATTAAAATATTTATAACAATCTTTAATGTAGCTGTAAAAACTCGATTTTAATAGTATTAGACCATCTTATCTGAGTTCTGACTGCAAAAGAAAAATCATCATCATTAACGAGAAATTAATTTCCAGTGTTGCAAATTCAGTGAATGAAATAACGCTTTTTTGGTGAGTACTTCTATAGATTTTTAAAGTTTCTAGGAAAGCGCAAAAACAATCAATGATTTGAATAGAAGCTAGAGAAAATGAACAAAAACAGAAAAGCGAAAATGGTAGTACCTGATTAGCAGCTTCAAAACTTTTTTTTTTTTACTATTGCCGGAATTTTGAAACAACGAAAAATAGCTGGAAAATACTTTGGTCTAATTTTTAAGTAGTATTATTTCAAAATGAATACGAATTAGCAACTATCAGCGTGTTAAGTTGTATTACTCATTTTAAATTAGTTGAACGCAATTATCTCAAATCTTTAAGCTTGCACACAACTTTTATCAAGAACAGGAATAAGCACATAGAATTTTGAACACTTAAATACGTGCACCAACTACCATAAAGGATCGCTAGCAACAATGGTTAAATAATACAATACCCACGCTTAGATTGCGAGTCAAAGAGACTTGTAAGCTCCCTGCTAACATAAGGACAAAGCCGTTCCTGCAATGCCAACACGGAAGCATTTGACAGTCGTTCAGAACAATTAACTTTGCTTTCTCAACTCATTTACTGGGAAATGGTTCTGTACGCAATTTCCAATGCATTAGATCAAGGAGAGTCAGGTGCGGATCAAGGATTTTTTTTCGGAGATTTCTAATGAATTTTCAAAAATTCTGTGTAATTTTTGTTTCAGACAAAATTGATTTTCCGAGATCTCCCCTAATAGGCAACATAAAGAATCTACTTTGACAAAACTTTCTGCACCGCAAGCAAAATTTATTTTAAAAAAAACAGGTTAAAAACGATGTTTTTAGGCATTATTTGGAACGTTTCCACCTCAATATGAGTAGATTTTGGAAAAAAATAATAGAAAATTGAGTGTCGAAAGGCCGAGCAAGGATGTTGTAAAATGGCACCAAAGGAGGAACTTTTCGAGTGGAGAGAAGATCGAATCCCTGCCTATATGCGCCCCAGCCAAAAGTATAACCTACATCAATTAAGGCAATTCAATAAATTAATAATGACATGAAACCCTTGGAAATCAGGTTAAATAGCTCCAGTATCAATTTCGAGACGCGATCACGATAGACACTTTTTTGATAGAGTCAGCTTTGAATTTTTCTAGTTATTTCTTATAAAAATACATATTCAGCAGAGAAATAGGATAAACTATTTGCATGCTATAAATTTCTGACAGGTTCAAATATAAAAATTACAGCAGGCATCGTATCTTTTTGCAAACCAAGTGCACAGTTTATCATCACAAACAAAAGTTCAAAAAATAACGCTTTGTGTGCGACATTATATACAATATTTAGCTCAATAAACTCATATTTAGCAAATCAAAGCTCATAAAAAATTTATTGTGACGCACTGTCCGAAAACTGTACAAAACTACAGCGCCGAAAAAAACTTAAAAGCGACCAGAATCAACGCGTTACAACTTCAGGCGATGGTTAATTCGCGATTGACGTGAACGGTTGTTAAATTTGCGCCGTCATACATCCGTAAAATCATCCATTCGACAATACAAACAGTAGCAGCTGCATTTATAGTACAAAAGCACAACAGAATTGAATTATAACAAATAAAAAACTCTTTGCTACTCAACTTGAAGAAATTCAATCTATGTGATAACTCATACCATTAAATAATCTCACTGTTGACCCAGTTTGTTGCTTTGTCTAAAATCGATTCCTATATTTGGCCCGAAACAACTAATTCGTTTTCATAGCAAGTGACATTAAAAGTGTTCAGAATTTAAAACATCTGCAAATTCGGGACTTGGAACTTCGCATACAAATACCATTTTAATTAAATCCGCAACTTCAGTTGGTTGTTTAGATTTCACTAATTGTGCGTTTTCGTCATCAAATTTGGTTTAGAATTAACGAAGACATAATATTCAAATCATCTACAGCCATGCAGAAAGCGAAAGAATATGACTGGAAGGATTCCAACATGGCCCTGTTTGGGTCAGACGTCGAAAAGAACGTGAAGAAGGCGTCGGCCGAGACCGAAAAGGCGTGGGAAAATGCTGGAGCTAAAGTGGGTCTCCAAGTATGGCGAATTAATAACTTCCAGGTCGAGCATTGGCCCAAAGAAGGCTACGGCAAATTCTTCGATGGTGATTCGTACATCATTCTAAACACGTACAAGAAACCAAACGAGGACGCTTTGTATTACGATCTGCACTTCTGGATCGGAAAGTACAGTACCCAGGACGAGTACGGAACAGCCGCGTACAAAACGGTGGAGTTGGATACGCTTCTGGACGACAAACCAGTACAGCATCGCGAGGTCATGGAGCACGAATCCCCGTTGTTCAAATCGTACTTCCCTATCATGACTTACGTCAAAGGAGGAGCCAAGAGCGGGTTCCGACATGTTGAGACTAAAGTGACCGATCCCAAACTGTTCCATTTCCACGGAGACAAAAAAGGAGTGGAGGTTAAAGAAATTGGCATAAACAAGCAGAATTTGGATCCCAGCGATGTCTACATTCTCATTGGGACTGACTGCATCTACCAATGGAATGGCAAAACCTGTAACAAGGACGAGAAATTCAAGGCCACTCAGCATTGCCACGAGTTGAAAACTGGTAAGATGAAGAGTGAGACTTTAGACGATGGGGATGTCGAACCGGACCACCCATTCTACAAATACTTCTCAGATGATCAACCCGTGGAGGGCACAACAAATTGGGTCAAGTCAGAGACCTGTACTCTGCATCGTCTGTCAGATGCCTCGGGGAACTTGACTTTCGAGAAAGTGGCGGAGGGCAAGGTCGATCAATCCATGTTCGACACCAACGATGTCTTCATATTTGACAAACCAGACGTTTGCTACGTCTGGATTGGAAAAGGAGCTTCACCACAAGAGAAGAAAAAATGGCCTGAGTTTTCGCTCAACTACCTGTCGAAGAGTGGGGATCCCTGCAAGCCAGTAACAGCCGTCAAAGAAGGATTTGAAGAGAACAATTTTTACAACTGATTCAGGACACCAATGGAACTACAACAAACCATGTTTATTTTCCCCAATTTTATTTCATAACTGAAACGGATGCTAATTCAAATCAAATATCTTATCTAAATACAACAGAGAGTACCGAGTAGGAAAAATCACAGAAAAAGCAGCTGTTGCAAGGCAATTAGCACAGAATTTTCCGGCCACAATCATCGTTCTAAGCAACAAAAAATAACCAACCGAGAGTTAGAAAAGAGCCAATGAACGCAACGATTATAGAAAAAAATATTGACAAAAAATATTGAGAAAAATATTTCAAAAAAAATCAACTTCCGAATTTCAAAGATAAAATAAGATGGCCTTAAAGCATTTTGAAATTGTAGAACAATTTATGATGGCCACTTTTCTCATCAAAATAACCCTATTTGAAAAATCTGAAAATTGAAATTCATTTTCCAAACTAGATGTCGATTACAATTTTTGTGACTTTTACCATTTTGATGTTCGATAGAGTTCGACAGTTGGAAAAGAGTGATGAACGCAAGTAACCATAAAAAACACTGACTTTCTTGAAAAAATCTTAACTTTCGAATTTCAAAGAAAAAAACAGATGCTCTTTCAGCTCTTTGTGAATTATTAGAACAATTTATGACTGGCGCTTTTTTGATAAGATGAACCCTTTGTGAAGCTTTAAAACTCAAGCAACCTATAAAGTTTGGTTTATTTTTGAATTGCAAGTAGAAAAGCTAGCAGAACAAGCATAAGAATGACTGAAAAAAATGCTGTTTTCCCTATCTCTCAAAAATGATAAAACCATCAAAATATTCAATATAATTATGCGTGCTATTTTCTATTGCTTAGTAAATTTGAACTAATCATAGCATAACAAATTGGCGAATAGTCCAATATATAAGACAATCATTTCAGCCCAAAAAATGACCAACCAAAAAGAAACAAACAAATCTATAAGACAGTAAAAAAAGTTTGCAGAAGCTACAACAAACAGCATTTCAGCCCTTGAAAAAAGCTAACAATGAACTGACAGCATTGCAGTCGAAAACAACTACGATACACAGAGACGAAGCTGCGCTCCGCAATTACTAGAGAGAACACGACAAAAAGTAGCTTAATAAAGCGAACACAGAGGCGACTTCGCTTAGAAAAAAGGAAAGCCGTAGTATAACACTAACGCTCACTTAAGTTTTACTGCTTTATCAGGGCGTTAATGCTATTTTTGTATCTTGTCGTTAGGAATAAATTCTTATTTATCCCAACCTTTCCTTGTTTCATCCAAAAGTTTCTTTTCTGCATGTTGAATTAGAATTCTGAACTAGTTGCTAGACCATTTGCCTCAGCAATGATTGTTTAATTTGTTGTTACCACAAAATTTCAAGTCACCGATTCCAAACTGATTGCTAATCCTTTTAGTTTCTGTGAAAAAGAGCAAAAATAACACAACTATATTTATCTTTCAATAAACCAGTTAACTTTTACAAAACTACCCAACAATACTGTTTATACTTTTGTTAAATTAAAAACAAAAATGGGTGCTCATATCAGGGTTGTTAAAAATGACGTGCATTGAAAGCTTGTTCCGAAAAAAAAAATAAGGTAACAAAAATTAGCTTACTAAGTTGATATCAATTCTCGATGATGAAAAGGAAAGTCACAATTAACACCTCTCACTATTTACATTTCTCCAGAAATCCAGAAAGGAAAACTACTTAAGGAAAATTTTTTCCATTTTTCAGAAAATGAAAAGTATGTACGCAAATGAAGAAAAACTAAAGCAAATGCAAGCAAAAATAGAGGAAAAGCCGGTCTAACAAGCAAAAAAGTATGTCATATATATCAGGGAGATGCATCAAAGTCGTTTTATGCAAGCTTTCAGTCAAAAGCAAGAATTTTTAATTTGAAGCTAGATAAATTTCTCTTAAGCTGGAAGCTGTTTTGAGAGTAGAAGAACGAGGAATTATACTAATTTTACCTTATCACCTGAAACTCCAATGACTAACATCTTCAAAAGGTAACAAGCATAGTCGCTTTCTGTGCAAGTAGCACAGAATTTTCCGACCATAGTCTTGAAAAATACAACACATTTTTTTTTGCAAATTAGTGTCGTTGTTATCGGCGTGGTGTGATAAAAAGCATATGCAGGAAAAACTAGAGATTAGGCATATTCGACAGTCAGAGAAGAGAAAAACAAGCAAATTGAAAATTCTATTTTTTTTGCAGTGTTTTGAATTAAGGCTTTAAAATACTCAACGAAACTTAACGCTACTCCAGTAAAATACATTTTAAAAAAGGCTACTGTAGGCCTGCTCTGCTCGCTCGCTTTATTCGCTCGAATTAAGACGAAAAACCTAGATCTTTCTCTGTAAAGATCTTTACCTGTTATGATATATCACTACACTCTCTCCTATGATTATTTGTGGTAGCTGCTTTTGCGCAGAAAAAAAAGCTAAAACACACCCGGAGACAAAATTTCTCCCCATTTTTCAAACGTTCGGAACAGCAAAAAAATTGTAAATCACACTTGTGGCTGGAATTACCCCCGGATTCTTCGTCTAGTGAATAGCAATCATTGCAATCAAAGGTGACAGTCCTCTCACAGAAATTTTTAAGGGGTCTTTTAAGGAGGTTCAATCACCCGAAAGTTGTAAATTGGGCCACTCACATAAAAATTATCAAAGGTCTACTCATCCAAAAAGTATCTTCATCTGAGATGCAAAATTTTCCTATATCGAGATGTTTCGGTCTTCTACAATCAAAACGCATACAAAAAATAGGTAGTTAGTATCGTTCTAGGATTTCGAATCGTTTTAAAGTTTTTGAAAGTTTTTTTAGAAAGATTTGACTTTTTATTGGTTTCAAGTGAATAGACTGATTGCTCATTCAAGTCACTGGACCATTTACAAATGTTCGGATGAGTGAAATTTCGGTTGCGTGGTCGGTCCATGAAATGGATGCTCAGTTATAAAATTGACTGCTTTTTCCGTTTGTCAATTAGTCTACCTTTTTTAAAGGAAATAATCAGAAGGTCGAAAGTATCATAGTTAACGAGGTTACAGTCAGGAGTCCCTTCATCACATTATCCAGTCAAATTCCTCAGATTTTTCTAGATATGCTTTGGCCACCACACTAATAAACACAGAGCTGCGCGAGAAACTTGACATCCTAGAGAAGGCAGTGAAAGAAGAGGACAACCAGGAACCCAAGAAACGGGGTCTGAAATTTGTGACATTCGACCAGAATGGCCAAAATGCAGTCTCTGCAGAATTCAGGATTTTAGCAGTGAACCTTCCGGATTGGCGATTTAGAACGGATAAGGACGTTATTTGAATGATTGGCCAAACGGTGAAGGCTAGAAGATTCTGGAATTCTAAATTTTAAATTTTCGAAGTGATGACGTAACATTTCTGAGAAATGTTAAAACGGCCATTTTGGCTAAAATAGCAGAAAGAAACAGAACAACTTTTATCTGCGATTGTGAACAGTACGAAAATCGAGATTAGAGAACGACAACAAAATACAGAATAGCAGAGAGCGTTCCGAGTTGCAACTATTGTGCTGCTACAATAGTTGCAAGGCCCTTGCCAACAACGGTGAAGGGTGAGAACCAGCCTTCCGGATTAGCAAGAAATCAAGAGTAAGGAGCTTGATTCGCCGGATTCAAGAATCCGGAAGGGTCTCGGGACGGGAACTTTTATGAACTTGTATTGAATTTTAGCATCCTGTCATGTCCTGACTTGAATTTAACTGATATTTTGATTAGTTTTGACAAGGATGAGGTGCTAGGAGTTGGGGGGAAAGGGTTGATCCATCTTCGATGGAGATGATGATTTTTATCTACTGAACAAAAACAATAGTAATATGATAAGTAGTAGCCCTGTTTTTAGGAGTGACCTCGTGGTCTGGGGATACTGAGACCCAGCCATGAGCTCACTAATTTTGCATGTAATTCAGTTAATTTGAGCGTTCTGGTCGAAGCCGGAGAACAGTAACGTTTTTGTCAGCCTGATGTAAGAAAGACCACCGAAAAGTACTGGCTTGGTAGAGACGGTGAAAAACATGCAAAGCTCTGTTTAGACGCTAGCCAGTCGTCTTAAGACTTAGTTTTGTTATCCGTCGATATGTATCTTCCGGGCGAATGTTACATGTATGTTTTTATGGCGCTCCTGGGTGTTATTCTTTCATAACATCATGACCGGCGGAACCGTTAACGAGCACTCCGCGCCGAGCGGATGCTCACATTAACGCCCTTAATAGGCCTAAACAGCCGGGGCGGAAGGGTAGTTCGGAACGCGGAAGCCTTCCGGATTACCGTGAATAGTTTTTTAACCTAGTTAAGACCGAAAATTCACGAACCAGGAAGGGTGGGGGGAATCATGAACCCCTCATCCCCTGAGTGGTTTGTGACCAAAAACACTTAAAGATATAAGCAAAACCAAACAAAAAGTAGTATAGTACCCAAGAAAAAAAAAACATAAAAAATAACCGGAAAAACCAAAAACAGTAAAAAAGTAAAAAATCAGTAGAAATCATCCCCCAGACAAGATGTGATTCAACCCCCCCGTTTGTTGTTGATAGGTATATTGTTGTTACAGGCATTTATATCAGTCAGGATCGTTACGATCAATTTTGTAGCCCGTTTGTGAGGCTTGTACTGTAGGGTTATTTGAGCATTTAAGCACGTTAATGATAAATTGCGCTCAATCCGGAAGGGTCAGCTGATTTGCGCTCAATTCGGAAGGGTCTTGGGTGAAGACCGATCCGGCAAGCAGTTCAAGGAGCAACAAGAAGGGGCTCAACGACAACAACAATCGACTGTTGGGTATCGTTAACAAGTTTTGTATCCCTTTTGGTACAAAAAGTAAGATAGTAATCTGTGGGGGGCTCGACAGTGCTGCACTGTAGTGACCCTTCACCGAACTGCGAATATCCGAGTTAAGCACCTTAATTTGGATAATAAACAAACCCGGAGGGGTATAGTATTACTAATATTATTATTCATATAGCCTATATTAATAGTCACATATCGTTTTTCAGTGAAAAACAACGAAAACAGACCGGTTTTTAGGGTCAAAATAGCGATATTTTGATCCCCCCACAAGTCGCGAT